TATATAACAAAAATGATGAATTTTGGTATATATTTGGCTTTTTTGTTCGATAATATAATAAAAAAAACATAGATATTAAAAAATACAACAAAACGGAGTTAGTTATTTCAAAAAAAAAATTGTTTTTTATATATTAATATGGATGTCAATGAAAAGTGGATAAAAATTATGAATTTGGTATATTTGGGTTTTTTCAATACTAAAATTGTAATTTCAATTAGAGGTAAATCAAATCAAATATGTCCTCAATATTGTTCATTAATAGTTGAAATTGTTGGTGAAGTGCAAACACACAATGTAAGAATATGATGATGGTAATATTATAAATTTTGAAAAGTTATGTTATAATTATGACTTTTAGTATATGAATAAAAGACAACATTTCATAATTGGTCCATGTGGTTTTCAAAAAAAATGATACTTTTCAAGATATTTTTGGATATCATTACACCGGTGATCTTTGCAGTTTCAAAATCAAGCACAATTAATCTTTTTGACTAACTTTGTTAACAAATAGAGGTTAAATACTTATTAAATGGCCTATTTACTCTTCTTTATTTCTTTTGTTATTTATTTAGGAAACTTTAAACACACTCCCTCCTTTTCACTCTCACCACCAATATCCCAATTGTCGGCATCAAAAACATCGATCACCCTCCTCCCCCATCGTTGACCGTCCTCCTACGGTCTGTCATAGCAGCGTCTCTATTGCATCAAAAACTTTCCACAAGTCTTCATCGCCAAACTTTCATGTCACCATGGACCCACCCTAACCAGTCAATGCTCCATCCTTACTCGTTCTATATGATGTCAAGCTGAACATTCCTCATCAATTCGTTCATGTCAATTTGGTGTCTTTTGGAGTAATATATGTTTTTTTTCTTCTGGGGTTTGTTTAATGATTTTTTTTCTTAAATGGTGCTTGTGTTATAATGGAGATAACAGATCATGTTTACGATTGCAAAATAGCTCCAAAAGTCGAAAGACGTTAATTTATGGTGGTCAAAGATTTTTTATTAGCTAGTAGCGTGTATTGGGAGCCAGGACTAGAGGCTTGATGCTAAGTAACTTGAAATTTGAGGACCTCGTGCTTTTAAAGATGTGATGATGTGCACTAGTATTCTTGTTGGATAATTTAGATATGGTATCAATTAGTGAAAGATAACAGATGAGTTAGGTGATGAGTTAGGTGCAGGATTGGTTTTTCATTCATTACAATTGTTGTTTTTTTTTCTTTTATCTCCTCATTGTAGCTTTCACAACACCAATCTGTGTTGTATTTTCCTTTTTCATCTGGCCATTAAAAAATGGCCATGAACATGTTGAAAGAATGGCACTATTGGTAGGGAGGTTGAAGAAGCATATATTAAAAAAATAATTAAAACAAAAAAACAAAAACAAAATCTCATTAACATTTTGGGTAGAAGTCATAAAAGTAGTGGGTTTTTTGAAATTTTTTCTTATAAAAAAAACATATTTTTAAGAGTAAATTACAGAAATGATCATTGGTTTAGTCAGATTCACATGTTCAGTCCAACATTTGAAAAGTTGATAGATTATGTCCCTGTGGTTTCTTGTATTATTGGCTAATTAACTTCTCTAACTTGATTATTTTTCCCTTATCTTATTTTTTTATTCATGTATTATTTCACATAAATAATTAAATTATAATACAAATAAAACCAATTTCATCGTTTCGCCTAGACCTCATCTCCATCATGTGAGCATCATCATTGACACCATCGACATCATTTTCCATCCTCCTCTGTCACCGTCATGCTTCATCCCACTAGAAGAACCAAAGAATAAAATCAACCCTAAACCGTCGATGGATGTCATATCTTCATTGTCGATGAGTCAAAATTGTCATCTGATTCGGATTTTGCCTCAAATCAGTGTTTGTTTCGTAACGGTAAAGGATGGCTGCAATGGAAAATGGTTTGTGAGAACCTGGACAACTCTAATTTACAAGTTCTTTTGCAATATCAATTGTTTTATGGAGGACTCGAGTTTATAGGGTTTCTTTTACAAAAACTACAATATTATTTTTCAAAGCATAAATTGATTCCATCGATAAGGATGCATGATGGATTCTAGTTCTATCAAACCCAAATGATGATTTCCCAAAATCTCTCATATCAAAGCAATATGGATTTTGATAGTGGCAGAGACTTTGAGAGTTTTAGAGGAGAGATGAAGTGAGTAGGGAAAAGTTTTGGGTGAAAGTGTTATGGGTGTACAAGGAACAACGATGAGGTGAGACTGATAATTGGACGATGTTTATGCATAGTCTGAATCGGAGTTAAATTACTTCAATGTTCTTATGTAATTTTAAACTTTTTTTCTCATATTTCAATTTTTAGGCTATGAATTTCAAGTTCATATTAACACCAATACATCACGAGGTCTTTTTTCTTATAGTAAGTAAAATTTCTTACTGAATGAATGTTTTACACATGTCACCAATTTGATACTCATTTACTCATGTTTCTTGTGTTTATTTGTGATAGTTTTATAAAGGCCACCACTTTGGTTACCCATTCTTGAATAGATACTGCCACATGGACCATGAGAAAAATTTGAGCAGATATATCTAGTTTCTCTCAGTTTTTCATTCTACCGGAGAAGATTGATCGTGGTTGGATGGTAACTTAAAACTGGAGAGAGGCAAGGGAATGGTAGGTGATGGGTGGGCGGGGTAGGCAAAGTGTTGTGGAGGTAATGAAATGGGTTTTGTTTGTATTCTAATTTAATTATTTATGTGAAATAATGCATGCCAAATAACATAAGGGCAAAATAGTCAAGTTAGAAAAGTTAACTGACAACAGTTGGATTTAACGGACCACAGACCAACAATGCAAGTTTTAGAAATCACAGAGACATAATCTATCAATTTTTCAAAGGTTGGAGTAAACATGCGAATCCGACTAAACCACAAGGACCATTTCTGCAATTTACTCTTTTTTTTTTAATGATATTGATATATTACACAAAATGGTCCATTTGGTGTAACTTCTTTTTCAGTTTTGGTCCAAGGGTAGATTTGTCGTATTAAAAAGTTTAACACGGCAAAATATACATTTTACAAAGAAGGGGCCAACCATACTTGATTTTGAAACCACATTTTACAAAGAAGGGGCCAACCCTACTTGATTTTGAAACCACATTTTACAAAGAAGGGGCCAACCGTACTTGATTTTGAAACAACAAGGACCACTGACATAACGTCCTCCAAAGATGCCACTTTTTTGAATTTTTAAAGGGATAATGACTTAAAAGGATAATATATTTTTCGATTTGTACACATTTGGTCACTGAGTTTTTTTTCGTCCACATTTACCTCTTCAATTTGTTAAACTGTACACATTCAGTCTTTATGACCGGCTACTCCAGGTTAGCCGATAAAAATGACTTAGAAGGGTAATATACTTTTCACTTTGTACACATTTAGTCCTTAATATGTTTGTACACATTTAGTCCTTAATATTTTTTTTGCAAAATAAGTCATTTTTGTTTTTTACTCATTCAGTACTTATAAATGATTTCTTAAGCTTTTTCTTACGACATCTTAAATGGGACAATCATTAATGAAGTGTTTGGGGCTTTTGATGCGTATATACATCATGATCTTGCTTAGGTCATGTGTTTTTAATGTCATAACATCTTCATACGATCTCGGATTTTAACGATCTTTATATCCATGTTTTCGTATTTTAGTCTACAACTTTCGTTTAGATTACTCCCGCTAAAAAGTAATATATTTTTACTAACGATTTTTATACCTCATACGTTTTTTTATGAATACATGTATTGATGTTTTTTTTATAAAATCGTAAGTAAAAATATATTACATTTTGGGATTAATCTTAACGAAAGTTATAGTAGACTCAAAAAACGAACACGTAGATATAAAGATCGTTAAAATATGATATTGTATGAAGAAGTTACGACATTCTAAACACAAAACCTAAACCAAATCACAAAACCTACACAACCAAACAGTCGAGATCGCGATACATCAACCCCCCCCCCCCCCAACACCTCATCAATGATTGTCTCACGTAAGATGTCATGAAAAGAAAACTAAAGAAATCACTCATAAGTACCGAATGAGTACAAAAAACAAAAAGGACTTATTTTGAAACAAAAAAATATTAAGGACTAAATGTGTACAAAAAATAGTAATGACTAAATATGTACAAAATGAAAAATATATTACCCTATTAAGTCATTTTTCCCGGCTAACCTGGAATAACTTGTCATAAGGACTGAATGTGTACATTTTAACAAGTTGAAGGGTAAATATGCACAAAAAAAAACTCAGTGTACAAATCAAAAAACAAATATTACCCTTTTAAGTCATTATCCCACTTTTGAATTAGTTTCAAAATTGGCAATCACAACTTCACACTCATTTTCAATTTTCAACAACTCTTACAAAAGCTATTTAACCACTAACCATTAACCTTCATTTTCTCTAGAAAAAATAAGCAATTCTGATTTAAACAATCTGGAATTTCTTTTATGCCTTCTCTTTGACACTAACCATATATTACCGATTAATTTCTCAACTCTGTGAAGTCATTCAGCTGGTAGTTGTAGCAACTCCCGTATACCTTGTGAAACCTACAGTAACCAAAACAAGTATCATTCAACAAAATGGTTCGAATATTTCAGCTGGAATGGCATAATTGTAATTATAGTGACCCTTGTTTTAGGGTCTAGTTAGGTTGTGCTTAACAATTAACTTTTTTGGAGCTTAAATGGGTTCAGAAGAAAACTTACCATCTTAATTTGAGCTTTGATTTGTGCAATGAGACGAGTGTATTCCTCAATTTGCCTACATAAAATTGCAAAACATTAGAGAATATAAAACACAAAATTAAATTTTTTTTTTTTTTTAAATACCTAGCAAACTTTTCTTCTCTAACAGGGATGATCTTTAAAGCCTCAGACCAAGTGAGCTCTACATGAAATCCAAGGCCAACATCTACAAATATGTGGCGTGTATCAGGTCTGCATACATCAACAGTTTTTAGCATAAACTTGTAGTAATTAATGTCTATCAACTAAAAACAGATTTAATAAGTTATGGCATACATACACATCAGCTTGTGCGTATACTTCAGACCCAAGATTGACCATTGACCTGAGACTTGTTACACTATTCTTTTCAAGACTCTCCAAATTTCTTCTAAGATCTGAGCTACAAGTAAATGGTGTCAAGTGAAATCTCACAAATTAGATAAATCACGTGCTTGTGCAATGATTTTAGAGAAAGTAAATTCAGTTGTTTTAGAAGCAAGAAAGTGAAGGATACAAGACTTTTTGTTGTTCAAAAACTTTGTCCCTGCAATATGAATAGAAATCAAACTAGGGTTTATCATACTAACCCCTGAATGTGTGTATTATTAAAAATGCTTGAAATCAGAAACTTTGTACCTTTCACCAATGGCTCGAACAAGGTCAGGTTTCAAGCGGCGATCAACAAATTCCTCGAATCTTTTTATTTTTTCTTCTGCTAGTCTATCTTGATCCATTTAGCTTCTAACCAAATTAAGATATGGAAAGAAAAAAATCAAGTTATCTATAGGTGTGAATAATCCAAATTACAACTTGAAAGATTAATACATATTCAACTCTTCAAGAAAAATTGCAAAATGTGCCAATAAGAGGTTCACATACATCACGTTAACGAGAGATCATTAGAGCCTGATCCTTTATCACTTTTATGAGTTTTATCGAAAGAGGATATCATTTAGGCATTTCATCAAATGGTTCATATGCAAGTAAAGTACAAACATGTTGAGAAAATAGCCCTTGTACAGTTGTACTGATAAACTACAACGGACTTGAAATTAGATAAAGAAAGAAATAAAATGAAGGGAAAGAAGCGAGAGCTGATAAACTACCATCATCTTTTTCATACAAATATTTAAACCATGGTCGACTTTAAGGGTTGCAGTAGCTGTATATGTAATAAAAGGTCAACTTTAATCATAAAAAAGCTCCATAGTTCATGTAAATGTACTGTAAAACATTATTTCCATTAATCCCCAACCTCAAATTAACAAAACCACAAAGATGATAAAGATTTTGAAATCAAAGCATCACGGGCTGTTTGGAAATCAGTATAAAGACTCCATGGAAAAATCAGCATAAATATTACAGGGGCAATTTGGAAATAGACTTCCAAGATGGTTCCATGGAAATCGATTCGGAGATGGAGAAGAAAAGCTTCATTCAGAGATGTTCCATGGAAAACGTCCATTCAAATATGGTTCCAAGGAAATCGATTTCAAAGCTGGAAAAGAAAAGCTTACCGGCGGGGATGGCGGAGGAAAGCACTGGAGTGGCCGAGGAAGGCGCTGAAGTGCCGGAGGTGGAGTTCGTTCAAGGGGTTCGATGATGGAGATGTGTTTTCCTGGGTGGCTGCGAGAAGGAAAAAATGGAAGCGGTGGGTTGTAAGTTTAAATAAGGAAAAATGTCATTTTTCTTCGTTTAGAGGATGTTTGTTTAAAAATGTTTTTTTTAATTTATAATTTTTGAAAAATCAATAAATTAAAAAAAATGTTTGTATACAAAAAAAATCTTTTAAAATAACTTATTGTTCAGACTTTGAAAATGAAATTTTAAGAAGTCACAATTTCTAACCTTTTCAAACTTATGACTTATTAGGTTTACAAAGTAGATAAAAGACAAAATTTAGTCAAATATTTTTTTACTTATTTTGACTTTTGCAACTATAAAAGTTAATCCAAATATTTATTTAAAAAATTATTTTTTCCACCTTCATAAGTCAATAACTTTTTTGGATTAAACTCTTTTTTTAATTTCAAAATAAAATCTCAAACACCCTCTTAGACTTCGGATGTAATCAAATAACTATTTACTTTAGTTTATATACAAAAAAAATAATAAGTTATAAAAAATATTTTAATATTTATTAAATAGGGAGTATGTTTAACTAGGTGATATAGCTTTTATGGAGATATAATCTGTAAATTTTGTATTAGGTAAGGACCATTTTTATAAAAAAAAATTAAATATATGGATCGTTTCTATGAAAAAATATACACATGGACCTTTTTTTGTAATTTTGTAGATTACAGGGATAATTTTTGTAATTTATTTTCTTTAAAGGGATCGTACTTGCGAACGTACGAAAATATTAAACAGATTGATGTTTTTCTGTAAAAAAAAAATCTACACATGGACATTTTCTGTAAATTATAAGGACCATTTTGTAATTTATTTTTTATGTAGGGACCAAACCTTATTTTTGTAAATTTGTTAATAGGAAAGGGTATTTATGTAATTTTTATACATATGCACCATTCTTGTAAATATAGTTATGCACAATTACCTATTTTGTAAATTACAAGGACCGTTCTTTTAATTTATTTACTATGTAGGGATCAAACATGTCAAACCTATAAACATGTCAATATACGAAAGGTAAAAGGATGAAAAATATCGGTGTTCAAATTTGAGGGGGTAAATGTGACATTTTACAAAGTATGGATAGAAAGTGTCATTCAACAAAGTAATGGGCGGAAAGTGTGAATGTACGAAAGTCTAGGAACCAAATCTACCAACATAAGAATGTTTTGTGACCAAAGTCTAAAATAAGAAAGTTTTGTTGCCAAAGTTTAAGATCATTTGTGGCCAAAGTCTAAAATAACAAACTTTTATGGCCAAAGTTTAAACCTTAAAACTATATTTTGTGGCCAAAATCTAAAATAATAAACTTTTGTGGCTAAAGTCTAAAATAAAAAACTTTTGTAACCAAAGTCTTAAACAATAAAACTACAATATTCATAAGCCAATTTGTTTTTGATATATATAATAACGAGGTTTTATCATGTTGCGGAGACAATGTATATGACGAACAACTGTTTAGAAAGTTCAAAGTTAAAGGGGTGAAATTGACATAACAAAAATATAATATATATATATATATATATATATATATATATATATATATATATAAGTTCAAACGTAAAGAAACTCGAATTTATACCGACACATATATAAAAAAGTAAATAATTTTTTTTATTAAATTAATGAACGAAAGTTCTAAATTTACGTCGAAACGTTGACAACATTCAATTTATAACGACACATAAATAAAAATAAGCTGTAAAAAATTAGTTTTTTAGTCAATAAACAAAATTTATCAAGAAAAATCAAATTATATACATTATGGGGATAAACATAAAAGTTCAAAAAATAGAAGGGATAAAAATGATTTTTTATAAAATGTAAAGTGCAAGGTGTCGAAGTGATATTTTAAAAAAATTTAGAGGAAAAGCGTCATTTTACAAAATGTTTTTAAAAATAAAAGGATTAAAAGTGTAAATTCAAAAAGTTAAAAATATTTGAGGCAAGTGTCGCACGGACTCTTATATTTAGTATATATCCTCTTAATAAATCAAAATTGTTTTGTCACATGTCCTCTTCTCTTTTCTTTGGACACATAGCATTTTGTAGAATTTTTGAATATTTTATTTTCCACTTGTCATTTTATTGTATTTTTCATTTAATTAAATTAAAATTTCACATTTAATATGTAAGGTAATATATATGTAAGTGTTATGAATTAAACGTAATTAATGTAACTATAAATCAAACCAAACTAGTAAACTTTGATAAAAACTTTAATTGAGAAGAAAGAATATTTAGAGAGAATATGAAAGTTATATCTCTTATAACTTTTGGTGTAACTCATTCTTTACAATGGAGGGGTACTTATACTACAAATTTTACTAACATATAATTGTAACTAGTTAGAAATGTTGACAAATGTACCATGCACCAATTATTATGTCATCCACCAATTATTTACAACACCACCAATTATTTACAACACTCCCCCTTGGATGACATCATTTTAGCGTTCAACTTTGGCGTACTGCCTCATTAAAAACCTTGCTAAAGAAAACCCAGTGAGAAAAAAACTTTAGCGAAGGGAAAAAGAGTGTAGTGTATAGTTGACTCCCCCTTATTTAGACACTCGTCACATTATATTCTATGCACATGTCGCATTCCAATGTCATGGATATGTTTTCTGAAGATTGCAGTAGGAAGTGCCTTCGTAAAACGGTCTGCTGCATTGGTACTGGATTGAACATATTTGATTTCAACTTGATGGTTCTTTATAAGCTCTTGAGTGTACTCAAAAAACTTTGGAGGTATATGTTTTGTCCTGTCGCTCTTGATATATCCCTTTT